ACATAAGATTACGCAGTTAACCAACCAAAGGGGACAATTTGCAGGAGAGAAAGAATTTTAATCAATGGGTTTTAAAAAATTACATAACCATGTTGAACATAATACATGCAACATTGAATTCCATCCAGGTAATAATACTTGAGTGGTTTTCTCTATGTGCAAACACCTCATCCTCAGCAAACCTGAAATACCCCAGCCTGAGTGATCATTCATTGCTAGAAAGCTTTGACATAAGACTTTTTAAGACAGCAAACTCCCAGAATATGTTTAAAACAGAGTTTGGTCTTTTAAAATTGACTTGCACATAATTTTTGAGAGACTACCTATTGGTTAAACTGAGGTATATCTGTGTTATAGTTTCATGAGCACACTCTTCAATTTCTGATAAGGGAAGCCTTTTTATACATTGCAGTAAACTATTTTTTCATAAAATGAAATTTTAATTCATGAGGTGTACATCTTGAGAGCCCATGTGCAGTGTAAGTGCATGGTGTGAGGACAGTGCACGATGAACACACAACACAGTACACCACAAACGAACACAGTTCCCTAGTACACAGCCCCTCTCCTCACAAAACATGTCTAAACCAAAACACAGCGAGGAAGTGCCCGTGTGGCGTGGCCCAGGCTCCCTACGGGTAGGTGTATATGTGCAAGGATGGGTATGCCACTGTGGCTGTGTGGCCTCTCTTTGTGGCAGGGTATCTGTTCCTGGACCAGTTTGGCTTCATATCTGGAGCTGGCTCTTGGCTGGAGTTTGTGCTTCTCTTCCGAGAGCATGATACTCCAAACCCTGGCTTCTCTCCCTGTGCAAACAAGATATAAATGCTGAATCACTTTATGCTGCAATTCCTAAAGTTACAGTTATGATTGGGGCTGGTTTTACGAGTCAGGAAGAAGTATTTGCATTTCCCCCCAAATACAAAAGTAGCTGACATTGTTACAGGGCAGAGGTGAATCAAGCATTTGCCCTAGTCCCTGAGACTGCCGAAGACAGGTCCATGGGCAATATTTAAAATGCCCTGAGAAGGCCAGGGTCTGCATTTTATAAGCTGTTTTGATTTATAAGGTGGGAGACTGCCCCACTTTTTTTTTTAACTCTGCTTCTCTGATATGCCACAGAAGTTAAATGCCTACATCTCTGTTATAGAAATACTAAACAAGAAATTTTAAGAAAATGAAGTAAAAGTAAAGGTTTGGATGGCATTCATCCACTACATTTGGTTTAACTGAATCCCTAGTTACATGTTACAGCCTAACGAACATGTTTCAGTTGTGGGATATGGTTTTAGTCACCCACAGACGTCTTGCAATGAATGCTGAATGAGGAAAGAGGTTAGTCATCCCTTATTAGAGTGTCAGGACAGAAATCCTCTTGGATTTGACTCTGTCTGCACCTCTCTTGTCACTGCTCCCAGTTCCTGTTATATCTCGGTGGTTGGACTGTCTACCTGTTACCTCTCCCAGAGAATCATGGCCTTCAGGGAGGTCTCAGGTCATACAGTCCTCAAAGGGTCCCACACGTAGTAGGTTCTCCAATAAGATACTGATGCATAAATGAGAGCATTGTCCCGAGAATTCCCAAGCAACAGATTCGGAAACACAGCAGGGACTTCATCTTGAGAGAAGTGTCCACTATACGTAGTCCACCTATGTTAACCTGGGGTCCTCAGTCTTTGCTCCACCCAGACACACGTGAGCAGCACCTTCCTACAGACACACCCAGGGCTATGTGAAACCACAGCTTACCAGCTGTTTCTCTGCCTCTTTTCCCTCCATCTCAGGAAGGAATATGCAAGTGCAAGTGAGCAAGAGAGATGTTACTATAGGGATAAATATGAATTCATTCTAACTTATTCTTTTAAAATAAAGCAAATCATTCACAAGCTTCGGTACCAAATGATCACTGTAACGCTGGATGTGAGGCACAGCTCACAGCTGATGGCGGGACCCCAGGCGTGGCTGACCTCTCCAAGGGCTGAGAACCACTGTGCTATCACTTTTCACCTGAAATGTTTCCGTGGAGTTACAGAAGAATTGCCTAACAAATGCTTGTGGGAATAAAACTAAGTTCTCCAGGGCAAGCTTTGGGCCCTGGGTGGGCTTCCTTGGGTCTGCGGTATCTTGTGGGCTGCGCCCCACGCTGCTCAAGTAGTTTGCAGCCGGAGGGTGCAAATTACCTTATACATACATCTGAGCAGAACAAATCCAAGAAGGTGTACCTGTGTGGATGGTGGCTCACCACCCCTCCAAATCACATAATACACCTGAAAACCAAATAAAATTAATTTCTGGCATACATGTATACATATTAGGCAAAATACCTGCATTCTCTCCTTGTTTTCAGTCAGCATCAAGGTGGTCATTTGTGATGGGTCGAGGGAGGTGCTTCTGTCTCTTCCATTTACCTGTGACTGAAATAAATAAACAGATTCTCACTAAGTTTTCCATTTGGACAAGTGTGATTACATAGACCACACACTGAGTGCTTTTTATTCATGCATGTGGATTCACTATGATACTCTAACACACAAAGAGGCAGGAAACAAACAAATAGTAATTTGAAGAAAAGAAACTAATGTTTATTGAATGCCTACCATATACTAGGAATTTTTCACATTGAATATTCTCAACAACCTTATGATGTAAATATTACTCCAATAATTTAGATACAGAAACTGAGCCCCAGGGTGGTTGACTAACTTGTGGAAAATTACATAGTGGGGCTGGAACTGGAACTCGAGACAGACTTCATAGCTTGGCTCTTGCCACTATTAGACTAGACACCAAATGACCCTCAATACTGAACAGAGACAGCTGTGCTGTGTGGGCACCTCAGTGGAATGCTGTGGGACCTCAAAGTTAACTACAGGGCAGCATTCCACAAGAGGAGGGCGGAATGCATCCTATCCACTAGGGATCAGCTACTATTGGACCCATACCTAATTTTATATATAAAAGAAGCAAGGATTTTATAGCCACAAAACTCCAAAGTACTAAAAGTTGGTTGAATGCTTCTCCTGTTTCCCACTGCATCCTACTCTCTATGTAACTTCCTGCTCACTTGTTAAAATCCCCAGCAGACTCTGAGGTCCCTGAGGCAGGGGTAGTGTTTTGTTTTATGTTGCATTCCCAGCATCCAGTAGATGGCCTGGCGTGTAGCAGTTACACAATACAATTTGCTGAATGGATAGATGGACAGATGGTCAAGGAGCCTGCTCTCATGTTTTGGGTTTAAAATCACAATTCATCAATATGTGACATCAGACTTCAGTGGTGTCTGTCCCAAAGCAATGTCAGTGTCCCCGCCAATTTTAATGTCCCCTGCTCCCAGGGGCACTGACAGTAAGGGAGACAGAGGGCTATTGCATTTTTCACCCTGTAGGAGAGACGTACTAATTGGGAAAACCAGAGAATCTGTAACAGTCAAGAATGGAACAGAACAGAGAGCCCAGAAATAAACTCGTGTGTATAATTAATTTATAAATGCAATTAATTTTCAACAAAGGAGTCAATAATAAACATCGGGGGAAAGATTATGCCTTTAATAAACAGTGTTGGGAAAACTTGATATCTACATGCAAAGGAATGAAATTGTACCCCTACCATATACCATACATAAAAGTCAACCCAAAATGGATTAAAAATTAAAATTAAAACCCAAAACTGTAAAACTCCTAGAAGAAATACAGGGGGTAAACTCCTTGACATTGGGATTAATTTTTTGTGTTTTGACACCAAAAGCAAAAACAACAAGAGCAAACATAAACAAGCGGGACTAAGACTGGGAAGCTCCTGCACAGCAAAGGAAACGATCAATAAAATAACATTCGTAACAACGTGGATGAACGTGATAGAGGGCATTATGCTCAGTGACATGAGCCAGACACTCACAGACACTGCACAGTAGCACTTGTATGTGGGATCTTGGAAAAAAAAAATTGAACCCAAAGAAACAGTAGAATGGTGGCTGCCAGGAGCTTGGCTGGGGTTGGGGGAAATGGGTGAGTGGTGGGAAAAGGGTATAAACTTTCAGTTACAAGATGATTAAGGTGTGAACATCTAATGTATAGCATGGTGACTATAGCTGATAGTACTGTGTTGTACAATTTAAATTTGCTAATAGAGTAGAACTTAAGAGTTCTTACCAAAAAAAAAAGGTAAATATTTATTTGAGGTGATGGATGTGTTAACTAACTAAATGGTGACAATCTTTTCTCAGTGTGTAAGTATATCAAATCATCATGTTGTATACTTTATATTATCCCAAAAAGTTTTAATAAATTTCCATGAGTAAGTTAAAAAAAGAGTCAAGCAAAAATACTACCTCACTCAACCTTGGTTTTTCATTTTTCATCGTTGAAGAACTGGTATTCTTTGAATTTTTCAAAAAAACAGGCTGCTTTTGCAGAGTAGATGCAAACCCTGCCATTCCCTAGAAGGATTGCAAAGAGAATGTTTTTCAACTGATCTAGCGCACTTAATCTGCTCATTTTGACCTGATTCACCCAGAAGTAAAAGTACCACCTCTGAAAGCACTTTCGTCGTTAGAAAGCAGGGGTACGGCGTGGGCATGGCAGCTTGGAAGGACGTATCTGAGTGTCCTCAGCCTGGCCCAGGACTGGGCCTGATCCCTCAGTGACCCAGCAACTCTGGACTAGTTCCAGCCACTACATTTCCAGTTCCACCTCTTTGCTCTGGAAATCTAGACTTGGTCAAATCCCAGACTTGCTATACCAGAGTGTAGTGGAGGATTAGTGGGCCAAGCAGATATCTGCTCAGGGATGTCCAGAGGACCCTGGGGAGAGCTCTGAAATCCAAATAGAAAGCTCCCCTGTCCCATTTCCCACTCCTTTTCTGGTTTAGGGCAAACCTTAGCCCTCTGTCCTGCTCCCTCTGTGGAAGACCCTTTAACCGGATGGCAGAAGTAGGCAGCAGAGCGCTCTTACTGGGGCCTCTTCTGTTAACTCTGACTCCTGCATCAACTTATTTTTCTGATACTGTATATTTCGCTGTTTCCTAGACTGAAGTGGCTTCCGTTTTTTCTTCTTATACATCTTCTTCTTCTTCTGATTCAACTATTTCAGAGAGTACAGAGAAATTAGTCACTGAGGAATCCAGAGGTCCGCCCACCCACGTGTAGCACCCTTTCCACACAACACTCAAGACACAACGGCTAACCCAGCAGGCCGGCCCTCAGGGTGCTGAACTGTTGTTGGTTTGGAGAACAAACCAACAGTTCAGTTACCTCCTTACCATAGGCCCCTCTCCACTAAACACCCCCAAATCCCACTGTTATAGATACACTGCCAAAGGGGTACCTGTACCAATAACCAAATTATCTGTGATATAAAACATGAAGCAGATTACTTATGGCAGTGTTACCAGGGACACACACTACTGATTATTAGGTATGTAGTTAAAAGATAGTGGTAGATTGTTACCACAAGGTGACTTTAATAATTAAGCAAATGCAGCCCAGGACTAGTTTTCCAGGCGCTTAGGGTGTGGTGAAGCTTATACTGACGCGGCTGCAAATCCAGCTGAAGAACTCGTAGGGTCAAGTCTGGCTGGCGTGGCTGGCTCCTCCCGGCACAGCCTAATCTCACCCACAGATGGCAACTAGGAAATCAGGTATGAACCACAACAGGTTTTTTTCTATTTCTAAACGCTCTATATCATCTATGTAAGAAAATGTCTGACAGGTTGGGGCAAAAAAATTACTTAATATGTGGAAGTCTAAAAAACTACCTAAGTCCACATGAACAAAGAAACATTTTTTTAAAAAAAGTATGGCTCATTTTTAACAACCTCTATCTCTTAATATGGTTTTCACTTTTAGTTAAACTCCTCCCCTCACTTTTAGTTAACTTTGGAATAAATACGGAGTTCTCATAAGTTTTTCTCCCTAAATTAAAAAAATAAAGTCATAAAGACAAAATGAAAGACTCCAGGGCAGGGTAACCAGTTAGGGTGCTCTTGCCATACTTTTTGCAGATCCCAGGAAAGTTGAAAATTCCACCAAATTATCCAGTAGTGTCCTGTTTTTTTTTAAAGGCTGCTACTTCCTGGACATAAGAGTCTGTAGAATCTCACCTCATTTGCTATGTTCAGTAGGTGAACAGGGAGGCCGTCTGAGAGGGAGCTGTCAGAACCACTGGTGCTGTTTCCAATAGGAAAGGAAAAAGGGAGATACCTGTTACCACGTCTAGGATGTAAACATTTACCAGACCAGCTGCATGGGATTAGGGGACCTAGTCTGTTACCTGCCTACACTGTCTGTGTTTCAATTACTAAGAATTCCGGCCAAGCATATTCATTCATTCATTCATTCTAAACACCTCCCTCATGCCAGGCAGTGCACCAGGCACAGGAAACAGAGGTGAACCAAGTGGCAAAAGAAACACCGGCTAGATGGGCAAAGCTGCCCCTGGCAGTGACTGTGAGAGGCTGGAAGAGGCTTAAGGAGCAGCCCTAGAGGATACCAGGGGGCTGAGACTTGTCTGAAAGCAGTGGCTTTGCCTCGTTCATTCCTGTCTGACTGGTACCAGTTCAGAGAGCAAGGATCCTCCCAGAGACTCTTTAAAAATGTGTTGAATATACAAATACATATATTTAATAACAAAGAATCTGTAGGTCACAGATTAGGAGTATTACTTTTATCACCTCAATTCCCCCTTCAGAAGATTTGCGTGCATGTCCAGAAGGATCTAAAGTCTCCTCCACAAACTGTCCCCTCCCCCTCTCTTCAAAGATGAGGACGAGTGAGGACTCAGATAATCTGTCATTTCTTCCTGCGTCGTGTCCTTTGCTTATGTGTCACATCGTATTTTCCCCTTTCCCGGGGTGTGGTTGGCTAGAACTGAAAGCTCTGCCCTATGACATGTCCTCCATATATAAAAATGTGTCTTAGGCACAAAACTCAAATCTCCTGGGAAAAGACAGCATTTCAAACTGTTCTTTTGCTCAGCCCTTTCATTCTGTTCATGCTCCCCCACCCCCATCAGGGCACAATATGGAGCCCCACAGCAAGACAACGGGAAGAAAGCCCTCTTGTCTCTGATCTAATTCCCAATTCCCTGTTCTCACAAGGCTTTTCCAGTCTGAGCAGCCTTTGAAGCCACTGGATAACAGCCTCTGCAGTCCCTGTTGGAGACAACAGAAAACTTTAATAAATGGGATAAAAGCATCAGATGCAGTATGCTCCAGAAAATGTTGAAAACCACGTATGTGCACACACATACAGCAAACCCAAGCTGGGCTGGCGCACGCACACTCTGATCTCCCGTGTGACTGTGAGAAGGGACAGGTGGAGCCCCGTGGAGGCCCATGGTAGCCAGCTTCCTGATGCAGAGGCTGGCGAATTGGTTTCAATAATTCTTAACTAGATGCATCTGAGCATCCCCGCTGAGCCACTTAGAGTGCAGTTAGGCTGTTTCTGAGTTGGTTGTCCCTGGGCCCTATGGGTATGAGCGGATATGCAGGGAGCATTTTGTTTTTGAGGCTGAAAGCAAAGACGGGTTGGTGTGGTGGTCCTAATGAGTTAGGCAAAGGCTTCTGGGAGAGTGGAAGAGGCAACAAGGTGAATCGGGCACCCTACCTGGCCTGATGGTCTGGTTTAAGGTTCCTAAAGAGACATTTGGGAGACTTAGCCAGCAGAACCACATTAGGGCCCCCGCTTCTGACTGAGGACAGTGGGGCAGGCTTGAGGCACCCGGGCCAGTAAGCTGGAGTAGAAGGTGTTCTGGCACGCCTATAAAATACTCCCCCTCCTAGGGGTGTCCTAAAATAGCTGTGGAGACTGCGAGAGTGGGCTGGGACCCTACACACTAAATGAATTCAGCAAGTATTTACTGAGCTCTCCCTATATGCCAGGTACTCTTCTAAGTGACTGAGATGAACAAAATCCCTGACCTTGTAGGGGAGACAGACAATAAATAATAGACACAACAGAAGGTGTGTCTATGGAAAAAAGCAGAGCATGTAAAGGGGATGAGGACTGGCAGGAGGGCAAAGGCAGGGGAGCAAGTTGCAGTATTAGAGTAATGAGGAGTAGGCCATATTGAAAAAGCTGATGATTAAGCAAAGACTTGAAGGAGGTGAGGGTATCAGCCATGTGAATATCTGGGAGAAGAACAGTTGGACCTGCCAGTGCAAAGGCCCTGAGGTAGGAGAGGACCTGGAAAGTGTGAGGAAGCGTGAGGAGGCCAGTGTAGCTGTAGCAGTGTGTGAGAGGGTGAGGGCGATCATAGAGGTATCAAGTGGCTAGATCCTATAGTCTTGTAGGCCATTGTAGGGTCTTTGACTTTTAATCTGAGTGAAACAGGGGAGATGCTAAGATGTTTTAAACAGAGGGATGACATGATCTGATTTATTTTAAAATAATCACTCTCCTGGTTTTCTTTTGGTCCTGATGGTTCCTTCTTAGATTCATTTGCTGGCTCCTCTCTGTCTCTTTAACCTCTTACAGCTATGGTACCCAGTTCAGACTTAGATCACTTCTTTACTCTGCCTACACTTATTCTCTTGGGATCTCAGCTACTCTTAAGGTTTAAATATCATCTATCCTGTGACGACTCTCTCCACTAGACCTCTCTCCACTGAACTCCAGACTCATATAGCCAACTGCCTATTCAGCATCTCCATTTAGACATCTAATAGACACTTCAAACTGAACACGCCCAACGTGAGATTCCTATCTTCACCACCCCCCAACCTTCTCCACCCTCTTCATCTTCACCATCTCAGTTAAAGGCAACTCCATCCAACTGATTATGGAGTCATTCTCTTTTTCTCTCATGTCCCACATCCAATCCATAAGCAAATCTTAATGTTTGAAACTTCAAAATATATCTAGAATCCAACCAATTCCCATACCTCAAGCACTACTGCTTGAGTCTAAGCCACCATCACCTTTCTCCCATAGTATTACAACAGCCTTCTAATGAGTGTCCCTGCTTAGACTTTCCTCTTTACAATCTATTTTCCACATGGCAGCCTCAGTATTCCTACTGAAACTAAAACCTAAGTCAGGTCATGATATTTCTCTACTTAAACCCCCCTAAAGGCTTTGCATCTCCCTTGGAGTAAAAGACAAAGGCTTCACAATTGCCTAAAAGCAATACATTACCTGCCTGTGCATCTCCCTAACCCTTTCCAGCTTCTAGAAAAAAAGCTGTCAGAGAACAGGCACTTGATCCATAGTCGTTGAAGGAATGAAGTGTACTAAGTTGCCATGATTTACTCAATATTTTGTACCTGAGATGCAGAACTAACAAAACAAGAGAGCAAGCAAAACAGTAATTAAAAAAAAAGTTAGAACCTGTTTTTCCTTTGAAATGAATTTTGTTACCTGGATTCAATGTCAGACAAAGAGATGTCACTCCAACTTCCTTCTAAATCCGTATCTTTGAATTTCTTATGGATTTCCTGTTGTAAGAGCGCCTTAAGCTCTGCTAGACACTGCATGAACTGCGGAAGTGAAAAAAAGAACTATTTTTGATTATTTCTTTATTTATTAATCAGGTGTTTATTAAGTATATGCTGAGGACATAAAGATGAGTAAGCTGTAACCTTGGCCCCTAAGGCCATGTTAACAGCAAGTTACAGGAGCTGTAGGAACAGACAGAAGTGTTTTTAGGGCAGAAAATCAATGAACATTGCTTTAGCCATTTTTCCTGACTACAGCCAATTGTAAACTTCTTGCAAAGGTCAGGTTTATTTTATTTTTGAATAGCAAGGAAGGAAAAGTTAGAATGGGGTTGTTGAGATTTGGGTCTATGACAAATATGCAGGCCCCATGTGTGGTCAAATTCTCTTAAGTATTTTTTATTAAATAACTGCATCCAGAGTGGTACATATCACGTGCTCCCAGGGCTGATGTTTCACAGGGGGTATAAGAGGTGAGTTAGAGACCATCAGAACAGACTCCTTTTTGAGAAGCTGAGTGATGAAGGGAAACAAATAATCTCCTGGAAAAATGAGGCCAAAGGAGGCCTCTGTGACTTTACGATGGGGGCAGCTTGAGAGCATCTACAGTTGAGCAGAAGAAGGAAAGGAAAAAACTGTGGTCACAGAAAACAGAGCAGGTAATTAATGAGGCAGGACCTCAGGGAGGTCATAGGGGAGGCTGGCAAGTGCACCAAGGGCAGGGGTAGTTTTGGAGAAGAGAAAGGACACCTGATTTTCTAAAACAGGAGAAAGGGAAGCAAGAATTGGTGCTCCGGGGTAAGCCTGGAAGTGAGGGCGACGTGTGCTGAGAGGAAGCTGGCGGGACGGCCTCTCTCCTCGGGGAGTGTGAGGTCTCACCCGCCATTTGCTGAGAGTTTGCAGCAAATTGTCTTTGATTTAAAAACTTCAGAAAAATATTAAGAGGAAAATAAAGATCACCTAGAGTCCCACTGGGCTTACTTCGGACCCATGTGAAACTGATCACAGTAACATCACCAGATTTCTTGACACTCCATTTTTACCTTGGTTCGGTCAGGATCACAGAAATCCAGAAGGGTGTCACAGACATGATAACCTAGGGATTTTAGATCCTCAGTGGTGAAGTGAGTGTCTCTTTTATTGCCTGGGGAAAAAATCCATAACACTTCTCATTAAATCTTAATGAGCAAATGCAAATCTAATCTATGAATATCTCATTAAAAACACCACCTCTGATTCTAAAATATTATGCTCCTTGACTGGGTCTCCTAGTTTTAGTTTGTTTCAGAAGAATCTCTGACAATGAACAAGTGTGCAGTCATGATGGCTACAACTACTGAGGTTTTCCTTTGTGGCAGGCACTTTGCCAAGTGCTTTACATGCGCTGCCTCATTGAGTCAGACCTGTAATGCAGGCACTATTATCATTGCCAGTTAAAGGAAGTTCAAACCCAGATCTGCCTGATTCCAGGTCCTGAGCAGCCACTATACTGTACTATCTTATCAACTATATTTCGCACTCATATTTTGGGTTCTCAAATTTAACATTAAGGCACAGACAAGAAAATCCTCTAGGTCAGTTATCTCCCCAACATTCAAAGGGATTTCATCTCCCCAGTGCTTTGCTTGGTTTCCCCTTTTGCCATGCAGGCCTATGATATACCGAAGAGAGCTCACCCAGGGTGGATCCGCCAAAGGTAGACTCCATGGTATAGCTGTTTAGGATTCCCATCCGCCACATCACAACACGTCCTGTTCCTTCTTTGCACTTTTGCACCTTAAAATTACAACTATGAAAAGAGAACTAAAGAAAAATCCAAATCCTCTGTTAATCATAAACTGGCAAATGTAAAATGTCTAAGATTCATTAATATGATACAAAAATGGTTTCCTTCGGGTCTATATATTATTTCCTAATGTATGGTCCAGAAAATACTAATTCTAAGTGATGCTAATAGATATTACAGAGGAAAAACTGAGTTCTGTAGTCACAGTGGTTAGGGGGATGAAGGTTTAACAAACTAAACAGGCTTCCTCTGCAGGACCTCTCAGAGCACTTACCATGTAATTGTGGACTGTGACCCTCCAAAGGGGAGGGACTACATTCTACATTCTGATGTTCACTGCCATGAACCCTTCCTTGTCTTCCCCAGCTTACACTTTGCAGGACTTCCTTGAACGCCTGCTTGGGAATGTTGGCTTATTTTATGTAATTTTTTTCATTTTCTATTTTTTTAACACCTTTATCATGGTATGGTTCCTGTACATTAACTACACACATACAATTTCAGATGTACAATTTGATGAATTTTGATAGACATATACACCAATGAAACCACTACCACAATCAAGATAGCTAATGTTAGCTTACTTTAGCATTCAAGGCACTAGCCAGCCTTTCTAACACTTATTTTCTACCTTGCCCCAACCCGAACCCTTGGATCCAATTGGGTTTATCCTCTATCTGTGACTGGAGTATGTCCCAGCCCTATAGTTCTGCCTAGAACTCTCCTGCTCCCTCACACTGACATTCTTCCTGGCTTGGAGTTCAGTATCCTCCACTGTCTTTCATGACCACCTCAACTCCTTCCTCCCTTGGAGTTGGTAACATATACTTGGCACCTATCCCAGCCTAACTTATCCTGTTGAGAACGTTTGACATTTGGAAGGCATCTCACTCCGAGGGATTTCTAAATCGTGCTCTCTGAAATCCAGGGGTTCTCCTGAGGAGCTCTGGGGAGTTCCTGCCGCAGGCACCAGGAGGAGGCAGGACAGGTGGGCTTCCACGCCCTCCACATACTTCCATTAGTGCAGATCTGCTTTTCTTTGTTTTAGATACTGGGTTCTGGATGTGATTATATGAAAAAAAAAAAAAGAGATCCCTGGAAAAAAATAGGAATACTAAAAAAGGAAAAGAAAAAGAAAGATGGGAGAGAGGGAGAATGAAGAAAAGCTTCCTTTTTCTTTTTCTTTTTCTTACATACAAAAGTAGCAGATACAAAATATTTGTCCTATATGTCCTTATGTGAGAAAATATGCACTATCATTTCACTACTTTTCTAAATCCAACCTAACTTCTTCTTTCTAATGACAGTTACATTTTGCATATCTGTTCATGATGTTGAAAGCCAGCTTCTAAACCAGTGCCCACACAGCTGTCACAGAGCTGTTACTCAGCCGACTGTTAAAGACTGTCAAGCTGTTTTCATTAGCCCTTTCATATCTTACAGTTCTGCGTGACCTTGTATTACCTGAACTTTTCTGTGGCGGCTCATATAACACTAGCATTTTGTTTGTCCTTCAGTCCCTTCTTCCACTGACAATGACAGGATGAACAATGACAGAGAACTCCATCTATTAAGACTTCGAACTTGTGCCCAGCAAAGCAGCCAGAGCAATTAAAAAAAATCATCCTTATTGAGATATAACTCACATACCATAAAACCGACACATTTAAAGCACATAATTCAATGGTTTAAATATATTCACAGGTTTGTGCAACCATCACCACAGCCTAAGTTTAGAACATTTTCATTTTCCCCAAAAGAAACCCAGTCCCCATTAGCAGTCACTCCTCACACCACCCTCCCTGGACCAGCTCCAGGAAATCAATCAACTACCTTCTGTCTATATAGTTGTACCTCTTCTGAACATTTCATAGAATGGAATCAGATAATATGTGGCCTTTTGTGTCTGGCTTCTTCCACTTAGCATAATGTTTTCAAGGGTCATCCATGTCCTAGCATATCAGTACTTAATTATTTTTATTGCTAAATAACATTCCATTGTATAGATATACTACATTTTATTTATCTTTTTGTCGGTCGATGGATACATAGTAATCCTTAAAGCCACACCTTTCTAAATTTTTGAAGTCCAGGTTGCTGGGATTTACCCAGATAATGAAGAGATACAAAGCAGCAAATCAAACACGGCCTAGAGGAAGCAGTGAGTTATCCTTCTCCCTTCTGTCAATGGACAGACAGTTACCTTACTTGCTTACCTTATCTGGTGCATTTCTGCTTAACATTAAAGGAAAGACTCGCTCATGAAGCCAGAATTTGCGATCGCTGTTATTGCAGCCATACAGGAAGATGTTATTCTTACGGCTGTGGCCATGGAAATCACAATACAAGAGAACCTCCCTTTCTTCAAGAAGTCTATTGGGGAAAAAAAAAAGAGCAGTCTATTGAGAGGGCAAAGGATTCAATGGACATACAGATGCATGAGAATAATCAAGGGTCCTTTGCAGTTTCTTCCTTAAGTATGTCTGTTGTTACTTTGCCTTCTAAGAAAATTTTAACTCCTAATGGCCCCCAAAGGACCCTGTCCCCAACCTCAGCCTCTGCTGGAAACATGACACTGGTTCTCCTTGTCCGAGTTGGTGAGAGGGACTTGTAATGGGTGATGGGAAGGCCTTGTGTAAACTGAGAAGAAAGTGGAGAAAACCTATTTAAAGAAAGCTCACTCCAGTGCAGACCTGTGGAAAGAGGAGGAGAGAGGCTGTTATTGCAGGGAGGGAAAAGAACCAAAGAAGGCCTTGGTTTCTGACATTCCAGGGCTAGCTCCTCTGAGACTCAGCTCTTCTTTGTCTCCTGATCACCAGGACATCCATTTAATCTTCCAAGCACGGTCACCTTCTTTATGTTGATGATGAAGAAGAGGATAACAGCAATGTCACACGTTTACGATGCGCAGGGTACTGCACTAAACAGACTACATGGATTATCTCATTGAAGCCTCATGGTAAGCACCTAAGGCAGGCATTACTATCCCCATACTACAGGCAAGGAATCTGAAGCACAGGGAGGTTAAATCACTGAAGTGGTCACAGAACCAACCAGTAGTGAAACCAGGTCTCAGACCCAGGCCTGTCTGACCCCCAGGTACAAGCTCTTAGCCATTCTGCCTACCAACCCAACACCACTCCCAGCCTTTCACACAGATGTGGGGAGAAAGTGTTTGGCCACATGTTCTTATGTGTGGCAGTTTCATTTCCAATGAAATGGAAGCTCCTTTAAGGTGGGTGCTATTACATCATAGGCTTCAACTGTTTTTACAAAGGCTTGGAAAATGTGGACTGATTTAGTATTCTTTCTTTATGAGAGGCAATATAAGATGGCAATAAGGAACTCATACTCTGCAACCAGAGAACCAGCTGTATGACCCTGGGCAAGTTATTTAACCTTCCTGAGCCCAGGGTCATACAGCTGGTTCTCTGGTTGCATGTGACGATTAAATGGGTCACTTGGGTAAGGCACTGAGAATACTGCCTGTCATACCTAAGCAGTGTCTAATTATTAGGCACCATTATTATTATGATGATGCATGTTTCATCAAGAAGGCCTATGAACTCCTTGACTTCTGACCTTTTCCACTCAGTCGCTTCACTTATAAGTGAAATGCCTCTAGCTGAAATGCTGCACACTCAGTTTCAACTGAATGATAAGACATGATTTCAAAGTTTGAAAATGAACAAACCCATGTGGCTGCAAAGAGAATAGCGAAGACTATCTCCAAAGCCACACCGCAGTCCTCCAACATCAGAGGAGACCTCACACCATCAGACAGTGCTCACAGCATCCAGAGAAAGAGCAGCAGGTAGAGCTCTCACCTCTTGATCATGTTCCTGGTGTGCCAGACGCAGGGGAAAGACTCCTTCAGAGTGGTTTTATAATGCCTGTTCAAGTCCCTTCCGGCCAGCGAACACCGGTAATTCCCCACGATCACCCCGTCTGGATTTAACATGGGAACCACTTTGAAGATGAAGATATCTCTGAGGAGCTGGGCGTCTGGGGAGTTGCTCAGGATGAAGTCCAAAAAGCCCTTCATGATCCAGGAGCCGTTACTTTCCCCGGGGTGCACTCTGGCACTCAAGACCACAGCTTTCTTCGCAGCTGCCTCTTGAGGGGTGCGGGCTGGGTTGGTGATGGTGAGCAGGTAGACGGTGTTTCCTGCTAGGCTCCGGCATAAAGTTCGGAGTTTGCAGAACTGAGACTGGACAGGGTTGTTTGTCACCGACAGTAGGTAGCACTGCAAGTCGGTGTACGTATAAGGGTAGAAGTGTGCAAAGAAGCAGGTGTCCTGGTCATGTGGAAACTGAATGGTCCACGTGAGACAGTACAAGGGCTGCTGCCCATCACCCGTGTTGTTCCTGTAGTACTTGATTTCATCTCCTTCCCTCCTCCAGCCGATGCTGTGGGTCTTGGCATCCAATTGGGAATACATGAGCGGCTTCATCCCGACAGTGTAAAGGCTCTTGGGCTTTAGCAAGTTGACGATGGTGAAACGGTAGGTGGCATCCTTTCTGGTGTTCTGAACTTGGAAATAAAACCACTGCGTGTGCTTTCTTGTGTAGAGGTCAGTTCGCAAGGTGAGTTCATACGCGTAGGTGTCTCTGTAATAGAGAAAACAGAAGAATCTCTCTGTCATTCCACACCCCCTTCAAAAAACACAGGGGAAAATGCTGTTTCCCCCAATTAAAAAACAGGTCTTATTACAACAGAAAAGCCTGCTCCTTCAAACATTTATTTTCTCATTTCCTTAGTTCTCTAACTCACATATTAGGCTAGCAGGAGCTTGGGGGAAGATAATTTCTTTTGGGTGGGACAGGAAGAGTCTCAAAACTCACAGTGCTGCACAGCATGTCTGGGAATGCTGTGAGCTTCTTGGCATCTTTCTAGAGCATCCTATAGCAGTTTCTAACCATTTCAACACATTTCTCTGAAACACATTGAAGAGCAGTGAAGCCAGAGCCCTCTGCTGGCTTTCGGTCACATCCTGGACACCGTCACTGCAGAGGAGACCCTTCAGCCCTCTGCGCTGTTTTATACCCGATCATCGCTTATTTGAAAATGAGGGGACATCTCTGGAATGCTGTCACCTGTTGAACTTGCAGAAGACAAAACACAAATGCCAAAAACCACGAGACCAAGTTCACCCACATGCCTAAACAGCAAAATGCAAATTAAAATAGGATGTCATTTCCCCCTCCATCTCATCAACACCCCAATGTAGGGAAACAGGCACTCTCATACACTGGTGATGGGGGCTGAAATCACAGGGAGGGCAATTTGGCAAAAACTAGCAACAGCGAAGTGAGCGAATCCTGGCCCAACAATTTTATTTCTAGAGTTTATCTCATAAAATCACACATAATTTATAAACATAAATGCCTGAGTGTTAATTCATTAAGAAAAAATTATAAACATCTTAATTTCCCATCAGTTAGGGTCAAGGTAAATAAAATATGGAGTATCCATACAATAGGACAGTCTGAGCTGTTAAACATAAAGAGATACATCTGTGATACTGCTTTAGAAAAACACCTAAAATTTATTAAATGGAGAAAAGCAACATGAAAAGCAATATGTCTACCATTTTCCTAATATATATATTAATATATAACTTGTGCATATTACACACATACAGAGGGAGAGAGAAAAATTAATAAAGTATTATCAGTTGTTGCATCCGAGAGGTATGATTATAAGACTTCAATTTTTAATGTTGGGTATTTTTATTAATACTATAAAAATTAATAAACAAAAATCCCAATTAAATAAAATTGGGAGATCAGCAGGGGGAGCTCTCATGCCCTGCAGCCTCAGCCAAGCCCAACTAGAAGACTTTCTTTCCTGGCCAGGACTCAGCCAATGAAAAGCCATGGACCCTCTGTTCACTCTGGGCCTCCCAACTCCCTTTTCCTCACTGTGAAAGCCTTCTCCTTCCCTTGCAGCGTGGGACTTGCACGTGGTGTCCCAGGATTGCAGACCCCGAATTGCCATTCTCTACAGATCCTAATAAATGGATGCAGAAACAGCTGATGGACTATCTGTTTCAGGTCAACAAAACAAATTTCAAATGTGCGCTAATTTCTTTTGGAAGCAGAAAAAACAATTTGGATAAATTTTTATTCTGGGGGAAAATACAAGTCACAATTATTCCATTTTTCTTCATCATCCTCATAATTCTTTCTCATCACTTCTTTCAGAAACTCTCCTGGCTCCTAACACAATTCCTGAAGACAGTTCTCAGTTATTTCAATCATCATCCCTTTGGGAAATTCCTCTTTGTTACTCACACTCTGACAGCTTTTTGCAGGTTCCCACTCTCAAACCTCGATTCGAACAGTAGAGTGTTATCTTCTGGTCCTTGCAAGGTGACAGCGAGTTCCTTGATAACCCCTCGTTTGCCTCCCACTCTGGAACGGGTGAAATAGGAATCCTCCGTGGGCACTGCAGACAAGATGGATGTATTTAGGCCAGGATTTACTCAGAATCCATTTATCCAGCAAATATTTATTGAGCCCTCTGCGTTCACTATTCTAGGTTAACAACAGTGAGATTTCAATTTTTCAATTGTCCTTGCTGAGACTTTAAATTTTTAAAAATGTATTTCTTTGAAGAACTTTAAGTGGTTTAGAGGACTTCCTTTTGCTGACTGGCTACCCTTGGCATCTCAGATACTGCCTGTACCCATCTAAACCCTCATTTAAAAGGAGGTTGGCAAAAAATGACATTCCAAGTGGAGCACCTGAAAACATTTGCAATCTTATTCTACAAAAACAAACAAAAAAACCAAATAGTACTTACTAATAAGAAAAAAAAAGAGAAGAGAAACAGAAAAACAAAAAAGAGAAAATGAAGTACACTCCTTATCATTTTTTTGGTGTATCCTTCCAGATTTAAATATAACAAAAACAGAAGTTTGAGAAGAATTGCCATGGGTACAGTTTGCCTGAGATGGGAACCAAAATGTCATAATAGTGAAAAGGTTATGATTGAAATTTTATCTTTAACATGAAGCTAAAACAAAAAATTATGAAGTTTATTTTATCTTATTTAAGAAAACTTATAAAACTTGGAAGAATAATCAGTTGTTAATTTTTTTGGGGGGTGGGCTTGCAATTTTTCAGATGAATTCAGTTAGGGTGTCATGTGACACCTTTGATTTTTGCAGTTGCTTTTGCAAAACTCTTGTAGGGCTCCAGTGAATGAGAATTAATAAAATGGCCACACTTAGGCTAACAGATTGCTTATTCTTATACTTGCCCTTAAAATGGTCAATTAACCTGACTGACCAGTTGCTACTCACAGCTCCAGGTCCATTGTTAAAACAAAGTTATTAACTTTACTGTTTCTGCTTTATTCCAGTAATCAGAAGTAATAATTACACTTGGTCTCTGAGTCATTTTCCAGGGAGAAGGTCATGGGACTGTAACCTTACAAAATAGCATGAGTTACCAAGAAGACCACACCTTGGGTGCTTATAAGATAAAGAGATTGAAAGAGCTACAACCACTAGCCTCTATACAACTGGTCACCTGGAGACACCATGATGCCACTCTGAGTCTTATAAGAAGAAAATAATTCTGTTGTTATCTATGCTTTATTAAGCTATGGCTATATAATCACCCTGCCCCATTCCCAAGACGGGTTCATAGTTTAGAAGGCACTAGCCTGCTGTGAGGCCCCCTTTGCCCAGCAAAGCAGTAAAGCTGCCTCTTTTCTTCTAAGCTCTAAGACTCTGTCTCTGAGTTATTTGGCTCATCAGGGATGGGGGCTGATCTTTCAGCAACACCAGTTTTCTGAAGGCCTTTCTTTGTACCACAATATTCTTCTCAGTGTGTCCAGAAGAATCTATTTTGTCATCTTTTGTTGATTTTTCTCTAACTGTTAACTGATAAAAAAATCCAGATTTTTATTTGTCAATGGCTTTGCAAGTGATACAAGCAATTTATCAATTTCATACAATCCTGAATCTCCTGTAAGTTCACTTTGCAACTGATTTTTAGTGTATTTGCTTCATACTGTCAGATGTTAATAATATTCAGCAATCAGCAAGTGACTGATGCCAACAAAGATGCTGTCCATGGGGCTTGCTGATAACAAAAGCATTTAACAGAGATGTGTATGGGGCCTGATTTTATAAGTAGTTATTAGCAAATATTTTCAAATTATGATGACTTTTGCTCTGATATGCAATCTTGTCACTGTGGAGACTTAGAAAATAAATACTTGGATAATAAATGAAAGCAAAGGAGAAAGCAAGCATATGAAGTGAGTGAAAGAAAAAAACAAGCACAGAGGAAGTAGCAGCAGCAGCAGCAAGAGAATGTGTAACCCAATTACGAGCTGAGGACCTGGATTGTTCAGCCTCTTCATGGAACCACAATCAAAGTTCAGACCAGCAACCAGGTATCATTAATATAAGGATTTCAATATATTCTTGAGTCTCTCAGATAACATTAAAAATGATCCAACAGAGGAGGCAGGGAATAGCTCAGTGGCAGAGCACATACTTAGCATGCACAAGGCCCTGGGTTCAATCCCCAGGGCCTCCATTTAAAAGAAAAAAATAAAAGATCCAATTCATAGCCCACAGTGACATTTCTCAAAAAACAAAACCTTTTTCTGTTTTGCCCCCAATATTCTTATAGCATGTAGTTGCTCTAGGGCTCCTAAAACGATAAACTCCCAGATTCTCCCTGGAGCCCCATCTTCTCAGTTTTCTGTTTCTTCATTCCTCCAGTAGAGTGGGCTCAACTCTCCTAGATGAATCCAGAGGACAAGATCAAGACAGCTGCCACAAACGTGTGTTAACAAGACAACAAGGACTGCTCACAACAGCTGCAGTTACCAGGAGAGTGAGCTCTCGGCCCCAGGGCCTCTTCCTATGCAGAAATACCCCTGAATAGAACAGATGAGGCAATGGGGATTCATGGGCATCGGGTTTACTGAAAATGACTACAGCAAGGTCAACGGGAGGTAAATCAGGCTTATAATATCCAATAATTTCTGAGGTTGTAGGAGTAGGACATTCCCTGTTATTTATAACCCAAGTCTACCCACTTATGATCTCACATTTTAAAGTCTCCCAAACTTCTCCTCAGACATTCCATAAGGTGGAGCTAGGTGCACCGTGAGTTGCTTCACCTTTTTATTTCACTGCATATAGCTTTTTCCAAAATATTATTAACTTGAGAACTCAAAATCAAGGCAACTGGGAGTGCAGCATGTGCAATCACATGTCAGCTGGGCCTTCTCTGCAAAAATTGGCTCATTTTTTTTCTCTCCTTGTAGGAATATCAACCAACTGCAGCCAGGGGGAGGGTATAGCTCAAATGGTGGAGCACAAGCTTAGCATACAGGAGGTCCGGGTTCAATCCCCAGTACCTCCTTCAGAAGTGAACAAACCTAGCTACCTCTCCCTGCCCAAATAAAGTAGTTAAATAATATAACAATAAATTAATTTTAAAAAACACACATTTGCAGCCCTTTTATATTTTTGATTATTTCTCCAAAACCTCTCCTGATTTCACCAACTTAACACATTCTATTTCTATTAATTATATTTAGTACATATTCTTCCTCCAATAAAATAGATTTCCTTTCAGATCCTATGTATTGGCTCCTTGTTCTTTAACATGACATTTCCTTTCCGTTTTAAATGTTACTATTATCACCTGCCTCACATCCTCCCCAGAACTTTTTTTTTGATGCTGTAAACTCACATTTTTCAGTTTATTTATTTCATGCATTAGGCATGTGTTCCACATGGGTCTATGGGAGTTGTTCTGAGAAACTAAATATGTGGCTTTCTTCTCTTCACAGTAATTTGAAGCTTATTTATTTATTTTCTTTTTGATGTATGGACATCTCAATATAACAAAAATGTTTCACATCATTTGTAAGTCACCGAATTCAGCCTGGCCCTGTGTACAGCAGAATTTTTACTTCTTTTAAACACTTTTTTAATTATGACATCTCCCCAGCACTTTTTATAGTCTATTTTCATTATAGCTATTTTAGTGGGTGTGAAGTTGATTCATCCTTTCCATAAATATCCTTTATCAAGCAGAGGAAATTTCCTTCAATTTCTGGTTTTTGGAATGTTCTTATCATGAAAGGTTGGATTTTGTCAAGTGCATTTTCTGCATTCGTTGAGTTGATTATGTATTTTTTCTCCCTTTGTTCTATTAATGCGGTGGGTTACATTGATTTTCTTATGTTGAATCACCCTTGGATTCCTAGAACAAATCTCCCTTAGTCATGGTGTATAATCCTTTTAATATGCTGCTGGACTTGGTTTGCTGGTATTTGGTTGAGGATTTTTGCACTTACATTCATGAGGAATACTGATCTATAGTTTTCTTGTGGTGACTTTGTCTGGCTTTGAATATTGGTTTCATAAGAAGAGCTGGGAAATATTTCCTCCTTCTCCTCTGTTTTCAAACTTATGAAGAATTAGTACTGTTTCATCTTTAAATGCTTGAAACAATTCAAACAAAACCTGTCAAGTCATCTGGGTCAGGGATTTCTTTGCAAGAAGACTATAAATTAGTAATTTAATTTCTTTGTTACAACTTATTCACACTTTTTATTTCTTACCTGAGTCAGTTTTGGTAACATTTGCTTTTCCAACATTTTTTTTCTGTTCATCTATGTTAATTTGCTAACATAAAGTTGTTAATAGCATTACCTTGTTGCAATTCTTTTGATTTCTATAGAGTTGATGTTTGTGTCCCCATTCATTCCTGATTTTGATAATTTGTGTCTCCTCCCTTTTTCTTGGTAGGTATGGCCAAACTTTTGTCAATTTTGTTGATGTTTCTGAAGAATCAGGTTTTAGTTTGATTTTCTGGATTATTTTTCTGCTTTCTATTTCACTTATTTCCACTTTTATCTTTATTATTTTCTTCCTTCTGCTTGCTTTGGACTAAGTTTGCTCTTGTTTTTCTAATGTATGAAGGTGGAAGCTCAGGTAGGTGATGTGGGGTCCTTCTTCCTTTCCATTATAGGCATTTAAAGCCATAAATTTAGCTTGCAGTGCTTTAGCTGTATCCCATAGACACTGATATGTTATCTTATTTTCTCTCGGCTCAAAACATTTTTGAACTCTTACGATTTCTTTAACCCATGGCTCACTTAGAAGTGTGTTGTTCAGTTTCCAAATATTTGTACATTTCCCAGATTTCATCCTGTTGATTTTTAATTTAACTCTACAGTGGTCAGAAAATATATTTTGTAGGGCTTCAATCCTTTTAAATGTATTAGGACTTGCTTTACAACCTAGCATATGGTGTATCCTGGGGAATTTACCATGTGGCCTTGAAAAGAATGTGTATTTTATTGTTGGGTACGGTGTCCTGCATGTTTTTATAAAAGACATGCATTTTACCCCTAGCATGCCTACAAATGAATGCAGGAAGCCACAGAGTAAATGACAGTCAAATGTACATACTACACAGTACTCACTATAGCATAGGAGATGGAGAAAAGAAGAGCAAATTCCTCAAAGATCCAACATCTGATTTTCAGAAAGGGGAATACTAAGGAAGAAGCTGTAAAATGGACTCAGAATAATTAAGAAAAGGTACTGTCTTATTAAAAAATAAAAATTTAAAACTGATTGGTCATGAATATCAGGGCTCCCACTCAGGTTGGTCTGGAAAAGACAGTTTATCACTGAAATATGGATTTTTAAAAATCACTTTTATTATAGAAAGTATGTTTAATGTGGTCATTATTAATCACTCATGGTTCAGTGTAATGACAATACCTGAATCTAACTGATAGACAACTGTGCCTCCTTCCTCTCCTACAATTTTTGGTATCTTTTCACTTCCCGTAGGTTGATAGAAATGTTCTGGTTGAGGTGGAACCCACTCTGAAAGAAGACATTAAAAAAGTATAAAATAAGAATATAAAAGGCATTTTATAGAACTAATACAAAATTATAATAATAATTATTCAAATGGCTAGTTTGGCTGAATCAAATCAAATTCCCACCCTAAGTTTCTAGTTTGTTTGTAAATTAATTATATCTTGCTTCTTTCTATAAAGACTATAGAGAGATTTTTAACAAAAAGCATATACAACAAAAGTACAAATTTTAAACAGAAGACTAAAAAATAAGCTAGAAAGGTCAATACAGTTCCTGCAACAACTCTTCAAAATTTGTCTCTGAGCTTCCTTTTTGAGTTAGGAACATATGATCAGCTACATACTTTGAATTACTATAGAAGAAAAAGTATAAATTTCTTCAGAGGAAACAAGGCTTTTTCATTAACACTCAATTTTAAAAGATTTCTCCTATGGGACTGGGGCAATTCCTCAGTATCATTTTAAGTACAGTAGCCACTGATGAAAACCAAGGGCATAAAAAGACATAACTCAAATTCAACAGTACATTAAAAAAATTAAACACCACGATCAAGTAGGATTTATTCTAGGGATGCAAGGATGGTTCAATATTCAAAAAACAGCTAATGTGATACACCGCATTAACAAAATGAAGGATAAAAATCATATAATCATTTCAACAGACGCAGAAGAAGCATTTGACAAAATTCAACATCCATTTTTGATGAAAACTCTCTACAAAGTGAGAATAGAGGGAACATACTTCAATATAATAAAAACCATATATGAGAAGCTCACAGCTAACATCATACTCAGTGGTGAAAAGCTTATGCCTATTCTCACCACTTTATTCAGCAGTATTGGAAGTCCTAGCCACAGGAATTAGGAAAGAAAAAGAAATGAAAGGTATTCAAATTGGAAAGGAATAAGTAAAACTGTCACTATTTGTAGATGACATATATATATAGAAAACCCTAAAGACTCTACCAGAAAACTGTTAGAACTAATAAAAAATTCAGTAAAGTTGCAAGATATAAAATCAACACACAAAAATCTATTATGTTTCTATATACTAATAATGAACTATCAGAAAGAGAAATTAAAGAAAACATTCTTATTTACAATTGCGTCAAAATAATTAAATACCTAGGAACAAATTTAAACAAGGAGGTGGAAGACCTGTTTGTTGAAAACTATAAGACATTAATGAAAGAAACTGAAGACACAAATAAATGGAAAGATAATCTGTGCTCATGGTTGGAAGAATATTGTTAAAATGTCCATACTACCCCAACAATTTACAGATTCAATGCAATCCCTATCAAACTTCCCATGGAATTTTTCACAAAAATGTAACAAACAATCCTAAAATTTATATGGAACCATAAAAGACCCCAAAGAGCCAAAATAATCTTGAGAAAGAACAAAGGTGGAGGTACCACGCTCCCTGATTTCAAACTCTATAAGCTATAGTAATTAGAACAATATGGTATTGGCATAAAAACAGATACATAGATCAATGGAACAGAATAGTGAGCCCAGAAATAAATCCATGCATATACGGCCAATTAATTTATGACAAAGGCTTCAATAATATACAATGGGGAAAGGACAGTCTCTTTAATAAATGATGCTGAGAAAACGGGCCAGCCATATGCAAAAGAATAAAACTTGACAACTATCTTACATCATACATAAAAAATCACTCAAAATGGATTAAAGACTTGAATGTAAGGCCTGAAGCCATAAAACTTTTAGAAAACACAGGAAGTAAGCTCCTTGACAGAGGCCTTGGCGACGACTTTCTGAATCTGATTCCAAGAGAAAAAGCAAAAGCAAAAGAAAAAAAAGCATAAACAAACAAGTGGGACTACATCAAACTAAAAAGCTTCTGCACAGCAAAGGAAACCATCAGCAGAATGAAAAGGCAGCCTACTGAATGAGAGAACGTATTTGCAAAGCATGTATTTGATAAGGGGCTAACATCCGAAAGAACTCATGCAACTCAACAGCAAAAAAATTAAAAAATAAAAAATAAAATTCAATTTTAAAAAATGAGCAGAAAATCTGAATAGACATTTTTCCAAAGAAGACATACAATGGCCAACAGGTATATGAAAAGATGCTCTACATAATTAATCATCAAGGAAATGTAAATCAAAACCACAATGAGATACTACCTCACACCTGACAGAATGGCTATTATCAAATAGACAAGAAATAACAAGTGTTGGGGAGGAGGGGAGAAAAGGGAATGCTTGTGCACTATTGGTGGGAATGTAAATTGGTGCCACCACTATGGAAAACATTTTGGAAATTCCTCAAAAAATGAAAAACAGAACTACCATATGACCCACTAATTCTGCTCTTGGCATTTATCCAAAGAAAATGAAAATACCAACTTGAAAAGACATATGTGCCCCCATATTCACTGCAGCATTATTTACAACAGCCAAGATATGGAAGCAACTTAAGTATTCATCAATGGATGTAGATAAAGAAATTGTGTGTGTGTATATATACACAAACACCCCCCCCACAACTTTATATATATAATATATATAATAGATGTATACAAAATAGATATATATGTAGATATATAGATATATAATAGATGTATATATTTTATATAATATATAACATATAACATATATAATAGAATATTATTCAGCCATAAAAAAGAATGAAAATTTCCCATCTGTGACCACATGAATGGACCTTAAGGGCATTATGTTAAGTGCATTATGCTCTCTTACATGTGTAATCTAAAGAAAATGTGCTTCACCATGTAGAACTTAAACTGTAAGGTCCCGTAATTCAGTCTGTCAGAACAGGAAGCCCAGGACATGTAAGTCACGTTACCAATGTGATGAATGTTCTCCTTGATGACCTCACATTCCACTGGCCACCTTGGAGCCTGCAGTGGCCCGCTGCCAGAGAAAAAGGCAAAGAGACTTCGGGGTTCTCGAAGACGCAGGTTTACTTTGCCAAACTCATCGTGAAGAAGCTGTCTGCTCTTAAGAAGTGGTGAACTCAGCATAAGAGAATCTGCCAAAGGGAAAGTGAATGAGTGTACAGTTTCCTTGTCTTCCTCGGCAACGTCACTGCTCAACTATAACAATTACGTAATTTTAAGCACCGTATTAAAATATTAGCAGACATCCAATCCTCCTTTCTCTTGTAAGGAGATTTAGTCCAGGATGGCAGCATGGAAATTACAAAATATTAAGTTAAAATTCTACACAGTCTATTGAATATTTAAATGTAAAGTTTCGGAGTAAGCAAGAAGAAACTTTTTTAAAAATCAAAATTAATGGGTCAAAAAACAATACAAAAACAGAAACAAAAAACAAAATTAATGGGTCTAAGACATGTCAACAGTCGGTTACAAATAAAAAGTTACCATAAAATGTGTGTTATTATTTTTATTGAGAGAGAGGCAAAGAAGACTTTCAATTCACTCACTAGCATTTTAGATAAAAGCAGATAAAACTTTATTAGCGACAGTGAAATAATCTACAAACTGAATTTCAAGTTCATAATATAACCATTCAAAGGACAGAGAGACTTAAAAAACAAAGAGGAGGAAAAGATAGGGGCAGAAGAGAGAGAAAGAGAGGCCTTGAGAAATAAAGAATGAGAAAAAAGAGGAAAAGAAAGGCTTAAGGAGAAAGGGGGGAAAAAAAGGAAATGAGAGGAAGAACGAAAAGACAGGAAAGGGGGAAGGATAGGCTGAAGGCCGCTGGTGTGTGGCTCCCAGCTCTAGTGGGGAGGGCAGGGGAAGACACGCCCCCATAGAGGAGTTTCGGTTTTCTGGTCTGGAAGGTAACGAAATACCTCTGCTCACAGCTTCCATCTGTCTGTGCACAGCTGAAGGTAGACAGCCAGGCCCTAGAATGAGGGAGGAAGCATGGTTTGTCCTACAGATCTTAGTCTTTTTTTTCCTGCCTTATCCCCTTGTATCTTCCCCCCTCACCCCCACTTTAGGCCCCCTGCATTTCTACGTCTAAATATTTCCCCTACTGTTGAATTGGCAGTGGAGGGGGGAGGCAACAAACATTTGAAAAGATGATAAAGCTGCTCAAGCTCACTCATAAAGAAATGTAAATCAAAATGACAGGAAGATGACCAAAATGACCAGTTTTTAACCTAACAAACAAGAAAACATTTACGTGCTTTCATGTTCATCCTGGCAAAGCTTTAAGAAAACAAGTACTCTCAGAAGCTGCTGGCAAAAAGGCAAACTGGTGCAACCTTTCTGGAAAGCAATTTGGCAGTAGCTAGTAAGACTTAAAATACACAAACCCTTGATCCAGCAACCCCAGTGCTAGGAATTACCTTACAGATGGTCTCACAAAAGCTCGTCAAGATACATATACAAAGATGGTCACTGCAGCAATGTTCAAATAACAAAAATGTGGACCAACCAGACATCCATCAAAAGGGAAGTTAAAATAAACAGGACTTAGTAATGAGATGGAATACTGTGGGTGTCCTTAAAAAGAATGCGGTAGATGTTTTTTTGTGCTCTATGAAAAGGCTCTATTATTTAACAACAACAAAAAAAATCAAAGTTTGTGTATAGGATTCCCTATGAGTAGTTACAAAGAAAAATATACAGATACATGAGGATATATATTTTTTTTTTCCTGGAAAGAATGGTAACTGGCTACATCAAGGGTGGGCAGGGAGGCCTTTTAGTTTCCTTTTGTGTTTTCCTACCATTTGAATTTTCTAAACTTGTACATAAATTGCTTTTCTTCCTTCCTCTCTCTCTTTCTTTTTCTTAAACAAGCAGACTGTAACTTACTCCTTTTTTACTTTTGTATTTTTCTGTTTTAAAACAACAACACATAAATGCTTTGATACAAAGATAAAGAAAAAATATCTTCCTCACTCCAATGATCAAAATAGGGGGTAAAAAAAGATGTCAGGTTACCAATTACACCCAACTAAAACTCATTTACATTGTTGTGTTACTTCCACCAGCTGATTTTGAATTTGATGTTTATTATATTAAGATTGGCAATTCTTTCCTATTAATGTTATTTTGTCAGCAAATAGGGTGGGAGGAAAGTGAAGGGGGCGGTCAGCTGGCTCTTGAGCCATCCCACCTCGACAGTCTCCTTTGCTCTACCCTTGCCAGGGGCTCTGGGACACAGGATGGAAGAGCCTTCTGGGCACTGGGGTGAGCAAATATATAAGATACATATCTGCAAATGGAATTTCTACTTCAAGGGTTAAGTACTGTTTTACATTTCCCAAGTGTTGCCAAATTGCCTTCCTAACTGCAGTGTAGGAGTGTGTTCTCCATCCCCTAACCGATACTAGGTATAATCTTAAAACATTTTTGCCCAAATCTCCTAATGTAAAAAATGGTACCCTGACATTTTGATTTGTATCTTTAATTAGAAGTGAAATTGAGCATCTTTTCTTAAAGCTTATTGTGTTTGCTTTTCTATGAACTGCTTGCCTTTGCCCTTTTTCTATTTGACATACTGATTTATGAGAGCTGTTGTGTTAAGGAAATTAATCTTTTGACATACTTTTGACATACTTGTCACAGATACTCTTCTTCAGTTATTTTCCTTTATTAACGGTACTTTTTTTCTATACAGAAATGTAAATTTTTGCTGTAAAAATTATCAATGTTATATTTATGACTTTTGGGTCTTGTGTCATTCATAGGTTTTTAGCTAGAAAAGGGAAACAATCAGATTTGCACATAAAAAAAGAAAATTGCTGTGTGGAAAATAAATTGAAAGGGGGCATAATGGAATACGAGAGGAAGCCAGGAGATCAATTAACAGGCTGTTTCAATAGTGAGGTGATGGTGGGCTGGGGAAGGTGAGGGGTGGGAAGGATGTGTAGTAAAGAGAACTGAATTGATGTGTGGTTGGATATGTGCTCTGGGAGAAATTCAATTGCATTCCTGTCCTTGGATTCCAGAAGAAACCTGTGGAATCCTCATAAATTATTTTTGCTGAAGCTAGCTGGAATTGGTCTCCAGAGAACCTTAACAAACATATCCATCAAAACTGCAGGGAAAAAAAATCATTGCTACTCTTGACTAAAGAGTTTTAACAAATTTTCCAGCAATTTGGAGAAAGATCATCCAGAAGGCACAGAATTCAAACTTAAACCTACAATCCAATACAGCTCGAGAGAGAACATTTTTGAGTGATGTCAGAAACAGTAGCTAAGGCTCTTCCCCTGGCTTCTCCACGAGAAGGCCACATTAGGCCATGTTCTTCTGAATACCTGGAGCTGCTGACAGGCAGTGAGGGTTTTGGGGGTCACACAACGCTGACTATTACTCACATAGACGCTTCTCCTTTTGCAACGGGTCCAGTATCAAATCATCTCTTTTTCCCAAAGAGCCACTCAGTAGGTATCGAGGATTATTATTCTTCCAAACGTGCTGGTGCGTAGCAGAGTTTGGTAAACTGCCTCTCTGAGCTAAGAATAGGCAGGTTAGTGAAAAGTGCTAGAAGGCTAGCTAGTTCATCACCTCTAACATTTATTTAGGTCAACACAAAAACCACTGCCAGCAAACTGCCACTACTATTCACCATCCATCACCACAGACCTTACAATGAATACAACCCATCTTCCAAAGAGCTTTCACATTCCAATTTACGTGAGTTAAGCATCATTTTCTCCACTGCATGGTGAAGAGAAAACTTGAGAAGAAGTACATAAAGTGGAAAGAGAAAGGGCTTGGGAGGCAGAAAGACTTGTCAGCTACAGGACCAAGTGAAGGCAAGTTCTCTGAGTGGAAGTGGAGCACTCAGAGTGGGAGCTGCTTTGTCCTGAGGAGGCTCCGCTGAATCTGGTAAACAGGAAATTGAGTTCTCAATAAATTAGTCATCACTTACAAAATCAACTAGCTAATAGGAAAGTTTAACAAGGTTGACAAAAACAAAATCAATATAAAACCTGAATTTTATTTCTAAATACCAGGAACAGTTAGAAAATCAAAATTTAAAAAGATGCCATCTATACTAGCATAAAAATATACAGTTATATGAAAAAAATTCTAAATCTTTACTGGGATATTAAAGAAAACCTAAGTAAATAGAGAATTAGACTATATGAATAGATTGGAGAATCTGGTATTAGAAAATTCTCACTTCTTGTCAAGTTTGATCTATAGATTCAATGCAATCCCAATAATGTTTTTAAACATCACAAGCCAATTCTAAAATTATATAAAAAGGCAAGAATAGCCAAGACACTTCTGAAGAACAATAAGGGAGGACATGTCTTTCCGGATATCAGGACTATTTTAATGCCATGTGGTGTCATTAAGAAAAGGTGGTATTATTGAAAGAAAAACAAACAGACTCTTGTATGTATACATGGAAACTCAAGAGAGGTGACATAGCCTATCAGTGAGAAAAGGAAGCACTTTTCACTAAAGGTGCTTAAAAAATTTGTCACTAGTTTACCTAAGCACAACTCTCTCAGTTGATCAATTTATTTTATGAATCCAGGAAAGGCGATGCTAGATAAGGATGAGCTATTACCTTTAAAATAGCCATAGTACTGGAGGTGATGGTACATAAAGTCTTCGTAAGGATCAGGAAGAATCTGAAATGAAAGGCATCTCAGTCAGGAAAGTGCTTTCATAATAATAATTAATTATAAGAGTCTGTTACAAGAATAATACTGACTCTTAGCAAAAAGTACACAAGCATTGCTGCAGAGGACAGTATACCAACAACTTCAGCAAACAAACCATAAGATGACAAACATTTATGCAAATTATTCTATCTTTGGGATCAAGATCTCCAGCCAAGAAAGGTGCCAGCATTATATACCTTCTGATCTAGTGTTGGATTTCCGTGGAGTTCCTGGAGAGGGGTGTGTACTGACCTTCTGCTTTAGCTCGGTTTCCAATGCTGGGAACATGTTACTTCTGCATGGTATGCTGAAGACCAGTCAGTGACACGGGCAGCCAGGCACAACCGCTACCGTTTCCAAAAGGGCAGCTGATTATACAGGAGAGGCTAAAAAACCAGAGCAGGACAACTGAAAAAACTGTCAGAATTTACCCGCACCCCCTCCATCCTCCACAGCTCCCACGCTACTTTAGGAAAACCTGCAGCTGCGCTCCCTCTTCTCTGTCTACTCACACTCTCAGACAAACAAGGACCCGACTGGTGGTGCCCACTACGAGGCCGGGATGCGCACCTGAAGAGTTGGGGAGGGCGGCGTGTCTTCCAGTATCCTTCTCTCGAGGTGCCTGGACCTCTGCTGGTCCCATGCTTCCTTCTCCCAGATAAGGGAGAGGCCCCCCACCAGGACGCCGCAGGAAAGTAAGAGAAAAGGGGATGAAGGATCCAGAAGAGTCGTCTCGCGGTAGATGGGAACGAAAGGTCAAGGGCCTGGAGAGTGGGCTCTGAACATGGAATTCGGGGTTTCAGGACTTCCTGGTCCAGAAGGTGGCTAAGCGCAGGTTCTCGAAGAGTCGCGGAGGGGGTGTGGAGATTTCCTACGAAGATAGAGGCCCGGCTCGTCCGGAGCAGCAGGGGTGGGCGCGGCGCCTGCCGCGGCAGAGGAGCTTGAGCGAGGCGCAGGGCACGGCCCGCGGGTAAAGGACCCGCCGCGCACCAGGCAGAGGAAGCGCTCAAGGAGCTCACCAGCCACAGCTTCCCGCGAGGGCCTCGGTAGCCTAGCAACCGCGAGGCGGAAGCTGGGGGGGCGGGGCTAGTGGGCACTTCCGAGGAGCGAGGCCCCGTTTCCAAGGAAGGGGTGGAGAACCCGGGAAAAGCAGACGACTGACGTTGAGACACCAATGATAGCACTGGCAACCCCACATCCGACTTATTTGCTGTTCCTCAGCTTTAGGAAACTGTTACTTATTGCTCAAAGGGATCCACTTCCCCTCTCTTTTCACCTTATATTCTCTCCATCCCGTAGCTAGAATTGAAAAAATGCCTACCTTGAAAAAAACAACACAAAGTTAGTAAATTAAACCCACATATTTTGTCTATTAAAGTTGTCAGATTTTTTAAAAAGCTAAATTTTGGCAAGATAGTGACAAATGCACTTGTTTTCTGTGGCAATTCCTAGAAGTCTGAAAAACTGTTAGGCAGTTAAAGCAAAGGCTTTAATGAATGGCTAGTTGATAGCCTTTAATTTCAGAAATTTGCTCTGTGCAAATTACAAGAAAAGCAATTGATATACAAAATGGTAACCCCAAATGGTAGCTAAATGGTAAACAGAATCCAACACATTAGCATACATGACACTAATTAGACAATTATATGCATATATGTATGTACACACACATATATATATATACTGCAATAAAATTCTATTGTCTTTGGTTAACTTTATGACTATAACCATAGTATACACTACCTTTGTAGTCAGAGGGAAAATATAAAGCACATCTATTGTTTTCAAAATATTAACCACATTACACCATTTCGATGATTTAAGCAAGCCAGACATTAGCGATTACAGAGTATAAGCTCCAAAATTTGTCATACCATGTCTTCTGGTACTAGAGGCTTGCTTTTCTAACCCTGTTTCCCTGTCCCCCAACTGGCTCAAGATCCTGCCGTTCGTTTTCCTGAGGGCTGTTCTTCAATGTTTGCACATGTCTTATACCTTACTTGATCAGAAAAAACAACTGACTTAAAGTAAGTCTTGGCTACATAGTCATGGAGTAACAGGCAAAACAGGAGCAAAAGGATAACCGATCAGAAGTATAAAAAAAGCTTTATTAGTGCATATATACAAATTTACAAGATCAGAAACTGGAGAAATACAAACAGCTTTAAAACACAATTTGCGTTTTCTTCAGTTTAAAGTGACTTTCACCTGATTGTGATACAATAGAAAGTACAGAACAGTAAACTGCTTTTTAAATACTGGAATTTTATGGAGAATACATTCACACATAAAAGGGAGGTGAACTTTGGGCCAAGGTGTGACAATGGAGACACATCAATACATACAGTGGCTCTTGTTATATCTACTGCCACACATGTGAGGGGGAAATTCTCAAAAATCAAAGACATGAACACCTGCTTGCTGCTGCCACCTATTGAAATTTAAATATGCCACCTAGTATGTGAAATGACTGAGCTATCAGTTCTAGAATTTGTGAGAAAGAATACGCTAACGAGTGTGGCCATCTGTTAGCACAAGGTGTACCTCGGCACTTCAGGGGTGGCAGACTAGAGGACGAGGTCGGAAGGAGATTCCTATAATCCCAGTGAAGCAAGGTGGAACACAGAGCTGCCTTCGTAATTGCACTTGTTCTGAAGAAGTTAATGAGAGAGAGCGTGCCACATTAGGAACTACAACGAGCCTCTATTAGGCAGGAAAATCCTTCATTTTTTGTTAGTGAGTCCTCTAGAGAGGAATCATACTCATGAGCCACATGTCCCAGATGGATGAGGTTAATGTACCTAACATGCTTTTTCCCAGTGTGAGAGTAAAGGCAGCAGGTCAAAGCATTCAGTCACCTCACCTTTCAGCAAAACAGAAAAATCACATTTCACAAGTGTGGGAATTTTGTACGTGTACGCTCTTGCCCAGGAAATTCATATGCTCTCCCTCATAACATTTCTAGTTTATTGACAACAGTAAAACTGGTTAAGACGCTGAACTGAACATAAAAAAAAACAATAATAAAAATAAAAATTAAAAAATTAAAAAAAACTATGTGTTTGGAGCCATTTTCCTTCTCTTCAGTCTGGCTCGCCAATCTTCAGGAAGGGCTTCAAAATTAGCATTTCTCTCTGCCATGCCACTGTGAAAACAACATAGAGATTACTTCACGGAAAGAAAACACTGTTCATTTCCTGGCAAATAAAAACCTCTAACTAAAATAAAAATTTGATCTATCATATATATATTCATGAAAACGCTTCAAATTTCGCAGCTAAGTACCAACATATTCTTCATCAAATTTCTTAATTCTTAATACTCTTCTCTATAATTTACATTAAATGTATATCTATTTTTGTATCTCCCCAGTAACCATTAAAGCCACACTGAAAGAATATAACACATTCTTGTAAAGGTATTCCTTGGCCTCTAGGAGTTATGATTCTTTGGATTGCTCTCTCATGGCTTATTCAATCACCGAAAAAAATCGATTAAAAATCAGATTCTATCTTGAAATTATCAGAATGGGTGCATTAGGTTATTTTAGATTATTAAAGGATCTAAGATAAATTACAGGATCTTTGTGACTTCCCCTCATCTTGAAATAGTTTGCTATTTCATCACTGTAGGAATTAGTATTATTCAATTCCCAACAACACTAAAAAAAGACTACTAAGAAAACTGAAGAATAATGGAATTATCTACAAGGATGATACAAAAATGAAATAAATTAATCACTTAATACCATCCCTCAGTTTTCTCATTGTATTGCCCCAAAAAAGTGCATCACCTTTCAAGGAAGTAAAAAAGTCTGGGGACATCATCTTCATAGTCTTCCCCCCATCATACCCCCAAGAAATATTAAGACAATTCAGAAGATGAATGCAAAGAGACAGTAGCACTAAAGATTCAAATTATGATGGTAAAATTGACTAGACAAGTAAAATCTCAGACTGTAAGTGTTAAGAGGACCATAGTCTAGATGAATTGTCTCAAATTCAAGACTGATGAGTGAATAATATATTTCTAAGGTCAAAAAGGAAATATAGTATTCTCATTCAGAAGAACAACTTTCTTCATCCAGTAGTTTCTAACAGGAACCGGGACCATCTCATTTTTCCTTAGAAGTTTATGGATCTAAAAATGAAATGTTTTTAATTATGAAGCAAAGATGGCTATCCTCTCCCAAATGTTTTCATAAGTACTGTATCTATACATGTTAAAGTGCAAAAACCAGAAGTAATGATAAGCTAGAACCTATCAGGGATGAATTTGAAATCTGGCGTAACTATTTACAAGGTGAGTATGTTCCAGGTTGTGACAACTGAGCAATTAGTTGCATTCAAAAATGTTGCTCATTTCAGTATGTGTAACTTCAAAAACCAGGAAAATAAAGAAAAATTTGAGTTAGCTACGTCTAAATTTTTATTAAAATTTCTAAGTTTTCTCCTCTTTGTTACACCTGTAAATGATTTGCAAAATTAAAAAATACATACACACACATGAAAGGGTCTCTTGGATCTATATGGTAAATGGGGATGACTATTTTTCCTTGTATACTCAGGCTTAAGATAGTCCTATATCCAAGATGAACGATCAGTGGGAAGTATTACAATTCTGATATTTCTGATTCTGAAAAAGACTAGACCAAACAACAAGTTTATAGCTCAGAGAATTATATTCAATATGTTGTAGTAACTTATGGTTAAAAAGAATATGAAAACGAATATATGTATGTTCCTATGACTATTGTGCTGTACACCAGAAACTGACACAACATTGTAAACTGACTCTACTTCAATAAAACATCTTTCATCTCAGAAAAAAAAGGCTAGACCATAATTTTTATAGGGAACTAAACATTTCTATGAATTAAAAGCTGCTTTAGTAAGTTTGTAAAGAAATCAAATTAATGGCTGTGATTTAAAAATATGATGGCTCTAAAAGCACAGCCACCAGCACCACAAGCTGCCTGTCTGTGGTCTCTTCTTTTACCTGACCAGCTGTTGCTGTTTCCACTCTTCAATTCGCTTTTGTGCGGTTGATTCCCGGTCCTCTTCACTGGAACTAGAGTTCTCCTCTTCATCTAACTCACGCTGGATACTCTGCCACTTCTTTACCAGAGATGGCATTTTGGTTTTACTCTTCTTTGCCTATAACAAAGGTTAAAGGTCAGAAGGAACAGAATACTTTGATAAGGCAATGAATCCTCCACATGAGATCAGTATTTTCTCAGTTTTAAGGAAGAAATGAACTTTAAAATCAAAGGAATAGCAACACTAAAAGTAAATAACCATTCTAACTTAAAGCCTGATTAAAAAATCTAAAAGTGTAATGTGATATTTTATGAAATCAGGTCAGAAAATTTTCCTTTAGCCTTTTTCTATGGAATTTAAAACTGCTGCCTTTATCTCCTCAGAATTACAGTGTACTGTTTTACAATTTTAAATAGATGCGGTGTTCATATCAAGTGAAGAACAGCACTGAGAAACAAATGATCAGCTTTTCTGGAAAGAGCAAAGTCAAAAGCAACTATTAAATATGAAAAAGCAAAGAGGTATATCAAAACACCAATGAAATCAAGTTCTAAGATGAGATATAAAATTTTATTTTTCTTCTGTTGGCTTACTTTCATTTTCTAAATTGTCTACCATAAACACATAACCTCATAGCAAAAAAAAAAAAAAAAAAGATTTACTATACATCCAACACGGCCTGCTCTACCACCACCTTCAGACTTCTAATCAATGACACTCTAACAAAGATGCTTTCCCTGACCACCCTATATGTACCATCACCCAAAGGCCACTTTATATCCTCTTACACTGTTTTCATTTTAATTTTAAACATCAAATAAATATTTGCTTCTCTGTTTCTGCAATCTAGTGCCCCCTACTCTCTACACGCACACCAGAAGAAAAGCTCTACAAAAGCAGAGATTTGTCTGATTAGCTACTAACTACAAAGCTCCTACAGAGAATGCCTGACAAATAGTGTGTATTCAGAATATACCTGCTGATATTTGTGATTATTCTTTGACAAAAGCCATTTTTATCCCCGTGATTTTGAAGACCTGGTCAAGTTACACTACAAACGTGACAAGGAGGCACTCAAGTGGCAGGTGTGATTGAGTGCTGTGCTTCTGTGAGGACTGGGTATGAGGGACCAAGCTGTTTTTCCCAACTGCACTTGAGAGAAGCACATTTCTTGATTAAGTCTCCGAAGAGTTGAGAAATAAGCTTAATATTTTTAGTCTTTTAAAACTACTTGGCTCCCTGCTCAATACTCTATTCTGTCATTGACATTTTTTAACTTTTTGCATAAATGAATGTCCATCTATCATGCTTAGCCCTTCCCACATTCCATTCTGTCATTTTATGTGTGGCACAACCTGACCCACTGCCCACACACCCTTCCCACAAGCTCCAACACAACCCACCTTGGGTTAGCAAAGAACCAACTTAATAAAAAGTAACAAATTAATAATGGTCAAGTGTGCATAGACAGCTCTACTGGGGGTATAACCTCTCACCAAACTTCAGCAAATATGATTGAAAACACAGATCTAGGGACAATCATTGTGGTTTCATTTTGACTTTCATAGGGTTTTATAAATTTTTAGAATATTTGATCCCTATTTGTCATGGGAAAGTAAGTTATGTTCTAGAAGTTACGTATTGCCTATCACATTAAAAACCATGGATCCAGAGTTGCACTGGCTGTTTGAACGTATTTTTAATAGGGGAACACGGCAGTCAGAAGAATAAAGATTAAATGGCTAGAATTCCTTTTTTCTAGTTTATTTTGTAGTAAACCACAGACAAAACCCTTCAGCAAAAATAGAAAAAAAAATACTGAAAATATATATTGGTCTCAAATACTCTTGAATCTCAGAGGTATAATATATATATTTTATATTCTTTAAAAATGGCCTCTAACAAA